CCCACCCACACGACTGAAATCGAACTCAAGTCATTCGCGCTTGACAGCGATGGGCTAAACCGCAGCACAACCTAAACGCTGAGTTGTCTAACCTTCGACACAGCAGACCGCAACAGATTCTGGTGGTAGTTTAGACCACAGCAGCCAACTCCTATCTCTCCGCCGTACCGCAACATCACAACATCACAGATGCTATTTTGTAGGGTTTTCAGTTTAAACGAGTCCACGTACACATGCGCACACACACACATACACACACACGCACACACGCGCACACACACACACACACACACACACACACACACACACACACACACACACAGAGAGAGAGAGAGAGAGAGAGAGAGAGAGAGAAAGAGAGAGAATAACACGATCACCTTCCTCTTTCCTTCCCGTCGTATTGGCATCGGTGCTGTTGTGGTAAGACGCTTCACCGTCGCACATACGGGATACGAGTTCGATTCCGACTTTCTTCTGGGGCATTGAATCCCTCTCAGTCTGGGTTGGCCTAGACATGCAGCGTCGATGTAGCCAGCCTCCTAAATGATCTCAATAGTGTCCATGGGCGGATGAGATTAGCGTTTGTGGCGAAGAGGTTAGTTGCTTTGCTGTCGCTCGCAGGAGACCCGATTTCAGTTCTTCTATGGAGATAAATTTTTTTTAAATCGTGGAATCTTGGTCTTTCAGCTGGGACGTTGTGTCTCTGTATCCCTTTTACCCATGTTTGCTCTGACAGGCAGGGTCAAATCCTGCCTCCGTCTAAGATCATATAAATTGTGTCGATGGTGGCGTATAACTACAATTTCCTTCCCGTCATCCTCTGGTGCAGAACAATGCACCGTGGTACGCACGGGACCCATTTAAAGAACACAGGGGGGCGACGACGGTAGTCACAAACTGAAATTTGTGAGGGTGCCAATTTAAAAAGCCAGTGGACTCATGTCTTCATATTTGTTTGACTGGTGGTTTATTTTTAAGTGTTGCAGAATGGTAAATCTGGCAACAATAATCAACCTACAGTTGAACAGAAATACAGTTAAGAGTCAACACGTGTTCAAAATTGGTACTCTCACGATTTTCAGGTTGTGACTATCGTCGTTTTCCCCCTGTAGTCTTCATTTCGATTCCTCTGTTGGGAGAAATTTTTAACGAGTCTCTCAGTCTTTCTGCTGAGACTTTGTATCATTTCTGTTGAAACTATGTGTCATGATTTCTGCTTTGGTTTGCTCTGACAAGCAGGGTCAACCCCCCTCCCCTCCTCCAAAATTATCTAATTACGGTAACGTAAAACTTCTAAAGTTAATTTCCTTCCCGCTTCATAACGTTTATAAATTGTGTGGATGGTGCTGTAAAACTAAAATTTATTCTCATCCCGTTCTCTCCTCAGGTGCAGAACAGTTCTGCCTCCACTGACGAAGACACAGGCCGGGAACATCTACAGCGGGAAAAACACGAGGGCCGATTCGTCATCCAGCACGATGGAAACTTTATGTTCTACTGGTTGGGGATCGTCACAATCTCGGTAAGTGACCTTGGCATTGTAGGTTAAAAAAAAACCCTCTTAGCACCATAAATAGGTCAGCAGGTCAGCACAGCAGAATCAAAATGGCGGACGGCTGATGGTTTCCCAGAATCGAATTATTCCAGTGGTTTTCAGAGGTTCAGTGGATTTAGCAAAGAAATTGTTTGTGCCTTGTTTGATCTAATCGACACATTTCAATGAAATTTCACACAGAAAGACCTAGATCATCAACATCTAAATTTGTAGTGGATTATTCTTATTTCTAAGCCCGCACTAAAGACGGCAGTTTCATGCCGACAAAAGCCGGTATGGCTCTACAGCGGGAAAGCCAGTAAAAGCTGGTATAGCTCAAAGAGAGTTAACTCGCAATATGCAGCGCACAGGCTGGCCTGGTTATAGCAGAATGTGCAACGATAGCTCGCGACCGTGAAGGTCATTACACGCCAACCTCTGCTGAGTCAGAGACGACACCTCCAGGTGGTCCGGGTATACTGCACGCCAACGCCAACTCAGTGACCCCTAAACATAGAATATCTGGCGCACAGCATCGCTCTGTTGTTAACAATTATTATAACAAAAATCTATCAAACCCCATACAGATCTATCTTATCTATAATTCAGCTGTATAGTTATTATAAGGATTATTCATTTTTGTCAGCTTGAGGTTTATGTTATGCAAATAGGTTAAATAGGAGAGGAATTGTAGGAAAGTCAATGGTGTTGAAAAAAAAAAGATGACAAAACTGACTGTGTTTAAAAGTGAAATAGCCTTCCGAATAATGTTGATGTTTTATCCAACAAAAGATGGAAACAGGACATAGGAACCTGGCTTTGGATCATAAACAGTCCAGGCAGGTAGAATGGCAAGAGGCAGAGTGTTTTGTTCCAGGAAGGTCCGAGAAACAAAGAAAATCTGAGAAGAAGAAGGAGGAGAAGAAGAAGAAGAAGAAGAAGAAGAAGAAGAAGAAGAAGAAGAAGAAGAAG